CACTGTTTTGATTTAATTATCAATGGCCGTTAAGCGGCATATAGGAATCTAATCCAGCCAACATCGAAGGCTAACCTTGACTTCGAGAGTTTATTATGGTCTGGATAAGTTAATTAATGTCTAATTGATAATTTAGATAACATTTCAGGCCTAAAGAAAGACTTTATTAAGCAGATTTTGCTAAGTGCATAATGCATGTTTAAGGATGATCCCTATTGTTTTTGGTGCATGCCCGACCGCCAGGGGCAGAGCCACGCCCATTTTTTTATACGCCCACATTTTCATGTGGACGTATTATGCTGTCGCCCCTGTCCGTCCGCCTGTCCACAATTTGTTTGTGGACACTCTACAGGTCACAATTCTTATCCGATTTTAACGAAACTTGAAATATAGGTGTATCTCCAAAAGATCTCGGCTGCTTTTGATATTGGCATGTATCGGATCGAAACTTCATGGATTATGGCCCCTATTTGTACGAAAAATGATGTTTTTGGCTTGTGGACCCTATAGAGGTCACAATTTTTATCCGATTTTGTTGAATCTTCAAATGTAAGTTTATAACCCAAAGATCTCGGTTCCTTTTGATATTTGCGCATATCGGACCGTAACTTCCTGAATTTTGGCCCCTGATTGTACGAAAAATCGCGTTTTTAGCTTGTGGACCCTATAGAGGTCATAATTTTTATCCGATTTAAAAAATCGTATTATTATATCACTGTTAAACCCTAAGGACGACTGAGTTTGAATTTCGTAAAAATCAGCCCAAAATTGACAGACAAAATGGCCGCCGTTCGTTCTCAAATAACGTAAAAATATGGTATATCAAGGTTGTGGACCCTATAGCGGTCACAATTTTTATCCGATTTTGTTGAAACTTGAAATGTAAGTTTATAACCCAAAGATCTCAGTTCCTTTCGATATTCGCGCATATCGGACCGTAACTACCTGAATTATGGCCCCTGATTGTACGGAAAATCGCGTTTTTAGCTTGTGGACCCTATAGAGGTCATTATTATATCACCGTTACATCCTAAGGGTGGCTGAGTTCGAATTTCGTGAAATTCAGCCCAAAATTGGCAGACAAAAAGGCCGCCCTTCGTTCTCAAATAGCGTAAAACATGGTATATCAAGGTTGTAGACCGTATAGAGGTCACAATTTTTATCTGATTTTGTTGAAACTTGAAATATAAGTTTATAACCCAAAGATCTTGGTTCCTTTCGATATTTGCGCATATCGAATTGTAATTCCCTGAATTATGGCCCTTGATTGTAGGAAAAATCACTTTCTTTTTAGCTTGTTCTCTATCCATCTCTCGAAAATGTGGGCGTATCCTGTCTGGCAGCCGCTGGTTGTATTTGTTTGGCATGGACAGGCCGCATTTCTTAATGTGTCATCTTGAAACTTTGCATACTTATTCTTTGTACCCTAAGGAACAACCCTATCGTTTGGGGTGCATGCCCAAACCCCAGGTGTAGAGCCACACCCATTTTCTTTTTGGGTGTCTGTGTATCGCCTACAGGCCACAATTCTTAATCGATCGTCTTGAAAAAATTCCATATGAATTCCTTATACCCTAAGGATGATCCCTATTGTTTTTGGTGCATGCCCGACCCCCCGGTGGCAGAACCACGCCCATTTCTTGTATTTATTTGTTTGTTATCTAGAGATCAAATTTCTTAACATATTAGTTAATATTACCTTGAAACGTTGCATGATACTTATTCCTTCTATCCTAAGGAACATCCCTATTGTTTATGGTGAATGCCCAACACCCAGGGGCAGAGGCACGCCCATTTTCTTTTTGTGTGTCAGTATGTCACTTACAGCTTGCAATGCTTAATCAGTCGTCTTGAAAACTTTTTTATACTTATTCCTTATAGTATACCCTATGGCTGACCTCTATTATTTTTGGTGCATGTCCGACCCCCTGGGACAGAGCCACACCCAATGTTTGTGTGTCTTGTGTTTCGTCTACAGGGCACAATTCTTTACAGATCCTTTTGTAACTTTGCATACCTATTCCTTATACCGTAAGGATGCCAACTGCATGTCCCGACCCCCAGGGGCAGAGCCACGCCCAATTTTTGTGTTTATTGTTTACAGACCATAATTCTGAATGGATCAACTTGGTACTTGGCATATGTATTCCTTATAGCCTAAGGGCGTCAACTATTGATTTTGGTGAATGCCCTGACCCCCAGGGGCGAAGGCCACAATACTGAATGGATTATCTTGGAACTTGGTATTCTTTATACCCTAAGGGCGGCAACTATTGATGTTGTCATTTCAATAACAGGGTGGTTCCCATTTATATTGTTCAATATTCAACCCCCAGAGGCAGAGCCACACCCAATTTTTGTATTTATCATCTACAGGCTGCAATTCTGAGTGGATCATTTTGGAACTTTGGATATTTATACCGTAAAGACAGCAACTATTTATTTTGGTGCATGCCACTTTTTTGTTAATATTTTGTCTGTAAATTTGGTAAAACAAACCCAACGCCTAACCTTCTTTGCCTTTATGAGAAGGGGAATTAGTATAGACTACGTTGAAAGTTGTCAACATTTTAAAAGCCCAGTATGTTTAATGTTAGCCACAACATTGTAGTGAAGTCATTGTTTTATGACATGTATATTCTTAAACAGGAAGGGGGGGTTGGGTGGCCGAATGGTTAGCGTGTGCGTGCTGTATCATAAGGCCTGTCATTGAGTCAACTCGCGTGGTTTCGAATCCCCGGTTGTACGTGACAAGGAATAGGGTCGCCTGTCCAACTTCGTGGGTTTTCTCCAGGTCCTCCGGTTTCCTCCCACTGCTAAACTAGACCCCTACACGCTAGCCTGCGATATTTACTGGATACTGGATTAGAACCCGGCCTACTGCTTCTGATTAAATCAAAAAATGAATAATCGGGACTATGTTTTTTATCGTATCAACTTTAGTGATGATGATCTAGGGTATTCCCAAAATTCAGTCGCTAAATACTTGATTCAGCGGGGATCAATTTGACTGAAAATTTCAGCAAATTCCCTTTACATTATCTAGTTTTTATCAGATTTATTTGAAACTTGAAATATAAGTTTATAACCTAAAGATCTCAGTTCTTTTCGATATTCGCGCATATCGGACCGTAACTTTCTGAATTATGGCCCCTGATTGTACGAAAAATCACGTTTTTAGCTTGTGGACCCTATAGAGGTCATAATTTTTATCCGATTTAAAAAAACAGTATTATTATATCACCGTTATACCCTAAGGATGGCTGAGTTCGATTTTCGTGAAAATTGGCCCAAAATTGACAGACAAAATGGCCGCCGTTCGTTCTCAAATAGCGTAAAAATATGGTATATCAAGGTTGTGGACCCTATAGAGGTCTCAATTTTTATCCAATTTTGTTGAAACTTGAAATGTAAGTTTATAACCCAAAGATCTCGGTTCCTTTCGATATTTGCGCATATCAGACCGTAACTTCCTGAATTATGGCCCCTGTTTTTACGAAAAATCGCGTTTTTAGCTTGTGGACCCTATAGAGGTCATAATTTTTATCCGATTTAAAAAAACGTATTATTATATCACCGTTACACCCTAAGGTCGGCTGAGTTTGAATTTCGTGAAAATCGGCCCAAAACTGACAGACAAAATGGTCGCCCTTCGTTCTCAAATAGCGTAAAAATATGGAGGTCACAATTTTAATCCGATTTTGTTGAAACTTGAAATGTAAGTTTATAACCCAAAGATCTTGGTCCCTTTCGATATTTGCGCCTATCGGACCATAACTTCCTGAATTATGGCTCCTGATTGTATGAAAAATCGCGTTTTTAGCTTGTGGACCCTATAGAGGTCATAATTTTTATCCGATTTAAAAAACCCGTATTATTATATCACCGTTACACCCTAAGGACGACTTAGTTCGAATTTCGTGAAGATCGGCCCTAAACTGACATAAAATGGCCACCCTTCGTTCTCAAATAGCGTAAAAATAGGGTATATCAAAGTTGTGGACCCTATAGAAGTCACAATTTTTATCCGATTTTGTTGAAACTTGAAATGTAAGTTTATAACACAAAGATCTCGGTTCCTTTCGATATTTGCGCATATCGAATTGTAATTTCCTGAAATATGGCCCTTGATTGTAGGAAAAATCACTTTCTTCTTAGCTTGTTCTCTATCCATCTCTCGAAAATGTGAGCGTATCCTGCCTGGCAGCCGCTGGTTAATTATTATAGTTATAGTGAGAACTACCAGCTCTTTATCTAAGCTCCCATAATGTATCTTTAAGAAGTGAAATGGTAGATTGAATTTTCACTAGCTCAGTGAACAGCTACGAGATACTATTACTAATTCGTTCAAACGAAATACTAATTAGTTCACGGAATAATATTTTGGGTGGGTTTTTTTGTTTGTTTTTTTTTTGTTTTTTTTTTAGTTTGGCACTAATGGGCCTTCGTAATCAATTATATAATGTGTATGTTAAGCGTTTCAACATTGTACATGTTAAACCGCACAAAGTGTGTGCATGCCTTTCGTGTCTTTTACAGAGCACGATGATCATTAAAGTAATGTAAGTGCAGCTGATGATTTAGCCGTTTTTAAACCACATGTGTCATGTTAATAATTTCTTTTGGGATTTAAGTTGGCCCTAAATCATGTCTAAATTAATTTCACATTGCATGTTAATAGAGATGGACAGAGGACTCGTATAAGCTATAATTTTGATCTTTTGGATAGAGCAATAAACTATAATATACCGTGATACGGAAGAACAATCAGTAATTGTTCTTCAATAAGTACATGTATGTGTTATAGTTTAAAGCTATAATTTGCGATGAACTTTCTTGGCCAACACCGGAATCGAAAACGGGGCCTCCAGGTTAGCAAGGCAACACCTTACTCACTGAGCCACCACTGCTTCCTTTGGTTTTTGTATTTCACACGTTATGTTTTACATTTCGTTATTTTGTTATATTCCACATGTACAGTAGTTATTTTTGTATTTCAGATAAAATTGATGAACATTATTATCTTTTTGAAAATTTAACTACTCGTCATTTGTACAATTCCTTGTACCCCAAATCCAGCTATGAATCATTCGCTAATACCAACCTTTCTTGCTCAGTATTAATCACGAGTCCAGTCACCTATGAAGTTTTTGTAATGAATGGAGGAGATGGAGATTGTGTAGGTATTCAATTAAGAAGTGACGATGGTACTGACTTATATCCCACAAACAGAACAACTTGCAACTACGACCTCACTTCAGACACAGTAACCATCGATAAAAACTTTACCCTTCATTTGTTTACCAACGACACGCTAGCAACCGGCGTGAATGCTACTGTACTTGTGGTACTTAGTTCAAGTAAGTTTCAAATTTTAATTTATGAAATTTTATGAATATTGATCAAGTTCTACTGGATAATCTAATTGTATTAAATTTCATTTACTAGTAAAATGCAATAGCACCAGTTTGGAAATCATGATAGTATCTGCCAGTACCATTAATTACCGTGGTTAAATGATTTCCCTGGGACAGGAAGTTACTCTATAATAAAAATATTCGAATGAATCTCAAAATGTACTGTAGGCTATTGACAATCGAAAATGATACTGAATAATATAATACTTTGAAATGTGATGTTTATAAAATGTCATTTAGCTAGCCCAGTATGATCGTCTGACAAAATAAATCCACAAAAATATAAACCTCCATCCCGCAGCAAATTTTAGGAAGGATTGTCTGAGAACCAGAATGTATTTTCGTTATTTACTATTGTATAAGTTCACTGTACTCAATCATTGTTAAAATGTAACAACCCTTTTCATTTCCAAGAGTCTAATATAAATTGTTGATTTTATTAATGTTGATTTAACGTGATCTGTGAGATATAACCTATTTTATGTTCAAACTAAAATTAGTAAGAAAGCTCAAAGATGCATTATGTAACAGCATTATCTGCCTATTGCAGGCCTTTATTTTGGCTTCAAATGTTATTGAGACTCTTATTCACGCAACAAGCATAATAACAACTCGCAATGCATTGAAACACGCGCATGATTTAACAATAAAATTGAAAATCTAGACTTAGCTTCAATTGTCAAGTACCGCTGCTACGATAATCTTCAGTCATAACAGGCTAGAATAAAGTAATTTGAACGGTCGACAATGTTAAATATCTTGGACATACTATTGTTACTCACATGCGCATATATTCTGTATACCATAAGAATTTAAATCTCAATGGACTATTGGTCTTATGTTTACATGTAAAATTTGTTCATGTTGACAATGATATTAAATTGGTATTGTAGAAGATAACTTCACTATCTGGTGTCCAGGATACCCAATAACAAGTAAGTACAACCACACATCATATTACTTTCATTTCTCCCCTGTTCCGAACTAATTAAGAGGACTTTTGTTCCACCCTAAACCCTTTGTCCTGATTTCCCAAGTCATCCATTTAATTGGTTTTGCTATGGTTTTCTGCAAACAAATTAATTTCAGTATTTACACCAGTCTGAATCGGCATTATTTTCTATAACCTTAGCCAGTAATTAGGCTAAAAATACTAGGAAATAGATACTAAACATTTTATCGTATTTATATTGACATTGAAAGGGCTTTAAATATCCATGTATCATAGACCGTATATAGATGGTCCAAAGTTCTGTCCAATCTTTACCCACAAACGCCACTAAAAGCCGATATGGGATTGATGATTGGGATTTAAAAATACCAAATCTTATATTTCGAATGCATTTTCATTGTGTCGCGTTCTTACTTGTTTACTGTAAACATCCAATGAAAACAAAGTTCTAGTCATGGCTAAACAATGTCCACTGGTGTATTTATAATCTCACTGAAGTCCTGTGTATATAACCCTGGCACCATCGGCAGTTCTGAATATATGATATATCTTATGTAATGTACAAAATGTGATTTTAATTAGATTGACCCCCATTGGTTGCTTTTGCTTAAATAGGATATATTATATGTTCATATTTGTAGACGATATAACTTTTATAGAATATTTACTCCAGATTATTCCACACCCACAAATTGATTTTTTTTTTTAAAACATGGATTTGGGCCGCATGGTCTCTTGGTCTACAATAAATGATGTTTAAATTTTATTACATGCAACCACCACAGCCACAGTTCCAACTACTACAGTTCCAACAACAACCGGTCCAACTACTACGGCTCCATCTACAACAACCGGTCCAACTACTACGGCTCCATCTACAACAACCGGTCCCACAACCTTACCGCCAACGACACCACCGCCAACAACTACAACTACACCACCGCCAACAACTACACCACCGCCAACAACTACACCACCGCCAACAACTACAACTACACCACCGCCAACAACTACAACTACACCACCACCTACAACTACACCACCGCCAACAACTACAACTACACCACCGCCAACAACTACAACTACACCACAACCCAGTCCAAGTACAACACCAAGTGAAACAGCACCAACCAAGGGTAAAAATAATTAATTTTGATGTAAAAGAATTGATTCGGTAGAGTGATTTTTGTTTTTTGGTTTATATTTTGTCAATAAGAAACAAACAAAATTATTATGAATTCAATATTATATCATCGTTACACACTAAGGACGACTGAGTTCGAATTTCGTGAAAATCGGCCCAAAACTGACAGACAAAATGGACGCCTTTCGTTCTCATTTAGTGTAAAAATGTGGTATATCAAGGTTGTGGACCCTATAGAGGTCACAATTTTTATACGCCCACATTTTCATGTGGACGTATTATGCCGTCGCCCCTGTCCGTCCGTCCACAATTTGTTTGTGGACACTCTACAGGTCACAATTCTTATCCGATTTTAACGAAACTTGAAATATAGGTGTATCTCCAAAAGATCTCGGCTGCTTTCGATATTGGCATGTATTGGCATGGCCCCTGTTTGTACGAAAAATCACGTTTTTGACTTGTGGACCCTATAGAGGTCACAATTTTTATCCGATTTTGTTGAAACTTGAAATGTAAGTTTATAACCCAAAGATCTCGGTTCCTTTCGATATTCGCGCATATCGGACCGTAACTTCCTGAATTATGGCCCCTGGGTGTACGAAAAATCGCGTTTTAAGCTTGTGGACCCTATAGAGGTCATAATTTTTATCCGATTTAAAAAAACGTATTATTATATCACCGTTACACCATTAGGACGACTGAGTTCGAATTTCGTGAAAATCGGCCTAAAATTGATAGACAAAATGGCCGGCGTTCGTTCTCAAATAGCGTAAAAATATGGTATATCAAGGTTGTGGACCCTATAGAGGTCACAATTTTTATCCGATTTTGTTGAAACTTGAAATGTAAGTTTATAACCCAATGATCTCGGTTCCTTTCGATATTCGCGCATATCGGACCGTAACTTCCTGAATTATGGCCCCTGATTGTACGAAAAATCGTGTTTTTAGCTTGTGGGCCCTATAGAGGTCATAATTTTTATCCGATTTAAAAAACCGTATAATTATATCACCGTTACACCATAAGGACGACTGAGTTCGAATTTCGTGAAAATCGGCCCAAAATTGACAGACAAAATGGCCGCCGTTCGTTCTCAAATAGCGTAAAAATATGGTATATCAAGGTTGTGGACCCTATAGAGGTCACAATTTTTATCCGATTTTGTTGAAACTTGAAATGTAAGTTTATAACCCAAAGATCTCGGTTCCTTTCGATATTTGCGCATATCGGACCTTAACCTCCTGAATTATGGCCCCTGATTGTACGAAAAATCGCGTTTTTAGCTTGTGGACCCTATAGAGGTCATAATTTTTATCTGATTTAAAAAAACGTATTATTATATCACCATTACACCCTAAGGACGACTGAGTTCGAATTTGACAGACAAAATGGCTGCCCTTTGTTCTCAAATAGCGTAAAAATTGGGTATTTCAAGGTTGTGGACCCTATATAGGTCACAATTTTTATCCAATTTTGTTGAAACTTGAAATGTAAGTTTATAACCCAAAGATCTCAGTTTCTTTCGATATTCACGGATATCGGACCGTAACTTCCTGAATTATGGCCCCTGATTGTACCAAAAATCGCGTTTTTAGCTTGTGGACCCTATAGAGGTCATAATTTTTATCCGATTTAAAAAAACGTATTATTATATCACCGTTACACCCTAAGGACGGCTAAGTTCGAGTTTTGTGAAAATCGGCCCAAAACTGACAGACAAAATGGCCGCCCCTCATTCTCAAATAGCTTTAAAATATGGTATATCACGGTTGTGGACCCTATAGAGGTCAGAATTTTTATCCGATTTTGTTGAAACTTGAAATGTAAGTTTATAACCCAAAGATTTCAGTTCCTTTCGATATTTGCGCATATCGAATTGTACTTTCCTGAATTATGGCCCCTGTTTGTACGAAAAATCACGTTTTTGACTTGTGGACCCTATAGAGGTCACAATTTTTATCCGATTTTGTTGAAACTTGAAATGTAAGTTTATAACCCAAAGATCTCGGTTCCTTTCGATATTTGCGCATATCGAATTGTAATTTCCTGAATTATGGCCCTTGATTGTAGGAAAAATCACTTTCTTCTTAGCTTGTTCTCTTTCCATCTCTCGAAAATGTGGGCGTATCCTGCTTAGCAGCCGCTGGTCCCTACAATCAAGGGCCATAATTCAAGAATTACAATTCGATATGCGCATATATCGAATGGAACCGAGATCTTTGGGTTATAAACTTACATTTCAAGTTTCAACAAAATTGGATAAAAATTGAGACCTCTATAGGGTCCACAACCTTGATATACCATATTTTTACGCTATTTGAGAACGAACGGCGGCCATTTTGTCTATCAATTTTAGGCCGATTTTCACGAAATTCGAACTCAGTCGTCCTAATGGTGTAACGGTGATATAATAATACGTTTTTTTAAATCGGATAAAAATTATGACCTCTATAGGGTCCACAAGCTTAAAACGCGATTTTTCGTACACCCAGGGGCCATAATTCAGGAAGTTACGGTCCGATATGCGCGAATATCAAATGGAACCGAGATCTTTGGGTTATAAACTTACATTTCAAGTTTCAACAAAATCGGATAAAAATTGTTCATTCATCCTTAGGGTGTAGCGGTTATATGATAATACGTTTTTTTAAATCGGATAAAAATTATGACCTCTATAGGGTCCACGTGATTTTTCGTACAAACAGGGGCCATAATCCATGAAGTTTCTACAATCAAGGGCCATAATTCAAGAAGTTACGGTCCGATATATGCGATTATCGAAAGAAACCGAGATCTTTGTGTTATAAACTTACATTTCAAGTTTCAACAAAATCGGAGAAAAATTGTGACTTCTATAAAGGTCCACAACCTTGTTATACCATATTTTTACGCTATTTGAGAACGAACGGCGGCCATTTTATCTGTCAATTTTGGGCCGATTTTCCCGAAATTTGAACTCAGCCATCCTTAGGGTGTAACGGTGATATAATAATATGTTTTTTTAAATCGGATAAAAATTATGACCTCTATAGGGTCCACAAGCTAAAAACGCGATTTTTTGTACAATCAGGGTCCATAATTCAGGAAGTTACGGTCTGATATGTGCGAATATCGAAAGGATCCGAGATCTTTGGGTTATAAACTTAAATTTCAAGTTTCAACAAAATCGGATAAAAATTGTGACCTATAGGGTCCACAACCTTGATATACCATATTTTTACGCTAATTGAGAAAGAACGGCGGCCATTTTGTCTGTCAATTTTGGGGTGATTTTCACAAAATTCAAACTCAACTGTCCTTAGGGTGGAACGGTAATATAATAATAAGTTTTTTTAAATCGGATAAAAATTATGACCTCTAATGGGTCCACAAGCTAAAAACATGATTTTTCGTACAAACAGGGGCCATAATTCAGGAAGTTACGGTCCGATATTGGCAAATATTGAAAGGAACTGAGATCTTTGTGTTATAAACTTGCATTTCAAGTTTCAACAAAATCGGATAAAATTTGTGACCTCAAAAAGGTCCACAACCTTGATATACCATATTTTTACGCTATTTGAGAACGAACGGCGGCCATTTTGTCTGTCAATTTTGAGCCGATTTTCATGAAATTCGAACTCATTCGTCCTTAGGGTGTAATCGTGATATAATTATACGTTTTTTTAAATCGGATAAAAATTATGACCTCTATAGGGTCCACAAGCTAAAAACGCGATTTTTCGTACAATCAGTGGCCATAATTCAGGAAGTTACGGTCCGATATGCACGAATATCAAATGGAACCGAGATCTTTGGGTTATAAACTTACATTTCAAGTTTCAACAAAATCGGATAAAAATTGTGACCTCTATAGGGTCCACAATCTTGATATACCATATTTTTACGCTATTTGAGAACGAACGGCGGCCATTTTGTCTGTCAATTTTGGGCCGATTTTCATGAAATTCGGACTCATTCATCCTTAGTGTGTAACGGTGATATGATAATACGTTTTTTTAAATCGGATAAAAATTATGACCTCTATAGGGTCCACAAGCTAAAAACGTGATTTTTCGTACAATCAGAGGCCATAATTCCGGAAGTTACAGTCCAATATGCGCGAATATTGAAAGGAACTGAGATCTTTGGATTATAAACTTACATTTCAAGTTTCAACAAAATCGGATAAAAATTGTGACCTATATAGGGTCCACAACCTTGATATACCATATTTTTACGCTTTTTGAGAACGAACGGCGGCCATTTTGTCTGTCAATTTTGGAGCGATTTTCACAAAATTCAAACTCGGCCATCCTTAGGGTGTAACGGTGATATAATAAAACGGTTTTTTAAATCGGATAAAAATTATGACCTCTATAGGATCCACAAGCTAAAAACGTGATTTTTTGTGCAATCAGGGGCCATAATTCAGGAAGTTACGGTCCGATATGCGCGAATATCGAAAGGAACCGAGATCTTTTTGTTATCAACTTACATTTCAAGTTTCAACAAATTCGGATAACAATTGTGACCTCTATAGTGTCCACAAGCTAAAAACATGATTTTTCGTACAAACAGGGGCCATAATCTATGAAGTTTCGATCCGATACATGCCAATATCCAAAGCAGCCAAGATCTTTTGGGGATAAACCTATATTTCAAGTTTCGTCAAAATCGGATAAGAATTGTGACCTGTAGAGAGTCCACAAACAATTGTGGACGGCGGACAGGGGCGATGGCATAATACGTCCACAAAAAAATGTCGGCGTATAAAAATTGTGACCTCCATAGGATCCACAACCTTGATATACCATATTTTTACGCTATTTGAGAACGAAGGGCGGCCATTTTGAATCTCAGTTTTGGGCCGATTTTCACGAAATTTGAACTCAAATTATGGTGTAATGAATAATACATTTTTTTTAAATTATGACCTCTATAGGGTCCACAAGCTAAAAAGGCGATTTTTCGTAAAATCAGGGGCCATAATTCAGGAAGTTACGGTCTGATATGCGCGAATATCGAAAGGAACAGAGATCTTTGGGTTATAAAGTTACATTTCAAGTTTCAACAAAATCTATACTAATATTTGTGACTGTCGTTTGTCTGTCTGTCCCGAGGCTGAAATTTGGTGTATATGTGTAGTTCGGACCGGGGAATAATACAGGCTAGGTGGCGTTGGCCTACTCCTTCCGTTTTCGGAGTTACGGGCAGCGCCGGGTCCTCCGCTAGTAGGCCATATTTATATTCGCTTCTCGTCAAATATCTGTATTATGATACTGCTTGTGAATTATACATATATCAGCCATCGCATTTTCCATAACTTCAGTGGCAGATGCTAATCAAAACTCAAAGTGGGGTGTATTATATATTTTATTATAAAATTGTAATAAATATCTTACATGAATGAATACCACCAAAAATAAAATCTACAATTTACAAAAGTACAATAATGTTGCGATTGGACGCCCTACAAATCCCTGATTGACTAAAATACATGACACTAGAACAATATTTTGTGTCACTCATCAACTAATTCTTCCAAATCAGCTAACTCTTAATGTGTCCAAATCGGAAAGCCTAGTTGACTAGTTTCTTCTGTAGTATGGCAGTTTTTTTCTATCTACCGGTATTCAAGAAATATAGCAGACAACATGACATCGCATTTCACATCACATTTAACACCACGTTGTACATCACATTACACATCACATTGCACAGAATATCTGGATTTAAGTATATAATTGGCAAGTAATGATTGCCAATTAATAATTGAGTTATTCAGGAATGACCATTGAATTTGCCCGGAGCAAATCTTACCCAAATCACATTTATTTATTTCACTCCACCATTGGTTTGCCGCAAAGTCGTCAGTTGTGTTCATGATCATGGTTTAGTTTTATTCGTCTAATCTTCTGTCTAAAACACCATTGTTCTATAGTGTACATGTCTGACCCATGACCCATATTACACACAATTAATTTGGTGTGGTTCCTTTATTTTATTTCATTCTATTGCCATATCTTTTTTGTAGTTTTGTAACTGCCATCCCATGCCTTTAACTGAAAAAAAGTGTGTTTAGGAACTTGTTAAAGTTAAATACAAGCAGGTTATTTATTGAGTGTCACAAGAAGAAATAAGAATTATAAAGAATTTACATTCAAAATACTTAAAACGGTATCAGATGTTGCAAAATTTAACTTTCGTCGTAATCTGGTGGACCTTGTATACTAAAACAATTATTCATTATGTGAACGTAGCATTACCAATTTACTTTTTTTTATATAATGTTATCAAATGGTTAGTTTTGCAGAGCTTGGCTAGAAACAAATTTATTTATGTACATCTCGAATATATTTAAAACAGCAACAGGGAATTAAAAAAAGAGTTTACTCTTTTATTCGATGTAAATAAGCCAAACCAAATGTGTATATATATTATATTATATTATATTGTGAATATGATAAAAATGTGGGTACTAACACTATATATCTTACAAAATAAATGTTTAAAAATAATGTTGGTGAAACATCACGTATAAAACCACATCCTTAGTAAATGAAACTAAGATATAACTTACATTTATTTCTTCAATTCAAACGAGTGCCGAGTCCCAATACTGTCAACTTAACTCGAAATAGGAAAACCTACACAATAGGGCGGTATTTATTATTAAAAATTCTAACTTTGTTAATGTCGTGCTTTCGCCCAAATGCTCAATTCTTTTGATGTTATTAGGGTTTCACACTGCGTAGCTTGTGTGAAACACTATTGTTTTTGTTAAAATTATTAGGGTTTCACACTGCGAAGCTTGTGTGAAACACTATTGTTTTTGTTAAAATTATTATTAGGGTTTCACACTGCGAAGCTTGTGTGAAACACTATTGTTTTTGTTAAAATTATTATTCTTATTATTATTATTATTCTTCTTTTGTTTTGAGTAGATCTCAGCAACTACTTGTCGCATCGTTACGATTTCTTCGGTTTTACTGGGAAAGTGGGTGTGACTTAGAGGATAAAGCTATTTTGAACGTTCTGCGACAATGCGAAATGTCCGAAATCACCGAAGTTATCGTTTTTACAAATATTGCGGTAATTTTAACAATAATCATGGGATTTTAACTTTCGATACATTTTGGCATAGCTGGAGACAGGGCACATAGCTGCGCTACTTTCGATTTTTGATTTTCAGCAAAAATTCGAAGATATTAGGCGCCAAATTTCGGAAATTTAAAATTTTACAAAAAACTTTTTTATTGATGAATATTTTTTACTCGTGTTGTGCACAGAATTAAAGAGTCATCTGACTTGCGCAAAAATGTTAAAATTTTTTGTCTCAGTAATTTTCCTTGGCCTCCATTGGCTAATTCAGTTTTTCAGTCCTAGCTTAATTTTTTATTGTTCGATTTGTATAAAACAAAGTTCATATGCTTCGTTGTCTCAATTGTCATTTTTTTTATTACCAAAAGTGTTATCTGTCGGCACCGGAAGTGGCATAATTTTACCAAAAACTACAATTTTGACAGTTAGGTACCATTTTTTGAAAACAAATATTATTTTTTTGAAAAATTATATGACTCAAAGAGTGTGTCCTTTAAAGGCGCAAAAAATGTCGGAAGCAGTTTTTTTAATTTCTTTTTCATTTTCTAGCAAATTGGATTAAGAGGTGAAAAAAGGCGTAAAATTGACCTATTTACAACTCATTCAGGCTTTTCAGATTTTAAAATATTTTTACGTAACTTTTATAAACTTGTAGCTATAATCCATACGAAGAGAATGTATGTGAAAATTAGTTTGTAATATAAGCAGTTGCCGAGATATAGGCAATTTTGCATGAGTCACTTTTCACGTAATTTTGGCTGTAAAAGAATCAATTATTATTCGATTTTCAATTTTCTTTCGCCATTGGATGCCTAATGCCATAGTGGACTATGTCAAACCATTTTACCCCTTGCGCTGCCACCGGAAATGACGTCATTTGCTCAAAACTTAAATTTTAGCCTTCAAAAAACAATATTTTATTCAAATGATTCGTATTTGTTATTTTTTTCAAATTATGATATTTGATTCTATTGATCAAATAGATTGAACCCATACGATCATACAGATACCACAAAATGGTTTCTAACTTGTACGGTTGCAGAGAAATGGGCGATTTTCCTTAAGTCACTTTTCAAGGTTTTTGGTCTATAAAAGTGTCAGTTATTATTCGATTTTCATAAAATTTTCACCATATGATATCTTGTGTCATTTATGATTTCATAGAACTAATTTAACATTTTCATTATCACCGGAAGTAACGTCATTTTGGCAAAAACTGTATTTTTAGCCTTCAAAACAGATATTTTTTTCAAATGAGTCTTATTTGTATTGTTTTTAAAATTATGATATTTGATTCCAATCAGCAAATAGATTGAACCCATACGATCATACAGATACCAGAAAATGGTTTCTAACTTGTACGGTTGCAGAGAAATAGGCGATTTTCTACAAGTCACTTTTCAAGGTTTTTGGTCTATAAAAGTGGCAATTGTTATTCGATTTACATACAATTTTCACCATGTGATGCCCTATGTCATTTCTGATTTCATAAAAGTAATTGAACATTTTCATTATCACCGGAAGTACAGTACACTTACATGTAACAAATGTATAAAATGAATTGATATTGCTGGATTTTGTTGATTCGGCGTCCATTTTATTTGATGTGTGCAATGCTTATGTGGAAACCTGTTTAATGGTTTCATTGGTACGGGAAGTAACATGTTTAGGGTAAAGTGGCACCGGTGAAACCCGTCATTACTGCATCGCAGTTCTAGTTCTTATTATTATTATTATTCTTCTTTTGTTTTGAGTAGATCTCAGCAACTACTTGTCGCATCGTTACGATTTCTTCGGTTTTACTGGGAAAGTGGGTGTGACTTAGAGGATAAAGCTATTTTGAACGTTCTGCGACAATGCGAAATGTCCGAAATCACCGAAGTTATCGTTTTTACAAATATTGCGGTAATTTTAACAATAATCATGGGATTTTAACTTTCGATACATTTTGGCATAGCTGGAGACAGGGCACATAGCTGCGCTACTTTTGATTTTTGATTTTCGGCAAATCTTCGCAGATATTAGGCGCTAAATTTAGAAAATTTAAATTTTTACAAAAAACTTTTTTATTTATGAATATTTTTTAGTCGTGTTTTACACAAATATAACGAGCCCTCTGACTTGGGCAAAAATGTGAAAATTTTTTGTCTCGGTAATTTTCCTTGGCCCCCATTGGCTAATTCAGTTTTTCAGTCCTAGATTAATTATTTATTGGTCGATTTGTATAAAACAAAGTTCATATGCTCCGTTGTCTCAATTGTCATTTTTTTTGTTACCAATAGTGTTATCTGTCGGCACCGGAAGTGGCGTAAATTGACAAAAAACTACAATTTTGACAGTTAGGTACCATTTTTCGAAAGCAAATATTATTGTTTTCAAATCTGGTATAACTGAAATTGTGCGCCCTTTAAAGGCGCACAAAATGTTGGGACCAGTTTTTTTAATTTCGATTCCGTTTTCGGGCTATTTCGATTAAAAGGTGAAAAAAGGTGTAAAATTAAGCTATTTACAACCCATCCAGCGTTTTCATATTTTAAAATATTACTTCGTAACTTTCATAAACTCGTAGCAATAATCTATACGGAGAGAATGTATGTGAAAATTAATTTGTAATATGCGCAGTTGCCGAGAAATGGGCAATTTTGCATGAGTCACTTTTTACGCTAGTTTGCCTGTAAAAGAGTCAATTATTATTCGATTTTCATAAAAGTGACACCATTTGATGTGTAATGTCAATTTTAACTAGGTCAAACCAAATTAACCCTTTCAATATCACCGGAAATGACGTAATTTGGGCAAAAATTGTATTTATAGCCTTCGAAACCAGTAATTTATTCAAATGAGTCATATTTGTTATTTGTTTAAAATTTTGATATTTGATTCAAATCAACTAATACAATGACCCCTTACGATCATATAGATATCACAAAATGGTTTCTAACTTGTTCAGTTGCGGAGAAATAAGCAATTTTCAACAGGTCACTTTTTAAGGTTTTTTGTCAATAAAAGTCTCAATTATTATTCGATTTTCATGAAATTTTCACTGTGTGATACATAATGCCATTTACGATTTCATACAAGTAATTTCAGATTTTCATTATCACCGGAAGTAACGTCATTTTGGCAAAAACTGTATTTTTAGCCTTCAAAACAGATATTTTATTCAAATGAATCAGATTTGTAATGTTTTTAAAATTATGATATTTGATTCCAATCAACAAATAGAATGAACTCCTTCGATCATACAGATACCTCAAAATGGTTTCTAACTTGTACGGTTGCAGAGAAATAGGCGATTTTCTACAAGTCATTTTTCAAGGTTTTTGGTCTATAAAGGTGGCAATTATTATAGGATTTACATAAAATTTTCACCATGTGATCATGCTATTTCTGATTTCATAAACCAATTTAACATTTTCATTATCACCGGAAGTAATGTAATTTTGACAGGATCACTGACATGTAGCAAATGAATTGATTGCTGGATTTGGTTGTTTCTGCGTCCATTTTATTTCATGTGTGCAATGCTTATGTGGAAACCTGTTTAACGGTTTCATTGGTACCGGAAGTGACATAAGTTCAAGGGTAACGTGGCACCGGTGAAACCCGTCATTACTGCTTCGCAGTTCTAGTTATTAGGGTTTCACACTGCGAAGCTTGTGTGAAACACTATTGTTTTTGTTAAAATTATTATTCTTATTATTATTATTATTCTTCTTTTGTTTTGAGTAGATCTCAGCAACTACTTGTCGCATCGTTACGATTTCTTCGGTTTTACTGGGAAAGTGGGTGTGACTTAGAGGATAAAGCTATTTTGAACGTTCTGCGACAATGCGAAATGTCCGAAATCACCGAAGTTATCGTTTTTACAAATATTGCGGTAATTTTAACAATAATCATGGGATTTTAACTTTCGATACATTTTGGCATAGCTGGAGACAGGGCACATAGCTGCGCTACTTTCGATTTTTGATTTTCAGCAAAAATTCGAAGATATTAGGCGCCAAATTTCGGAAATTTAAAATTTTACAAAAAACTTTTTTATTGATGAATATTTTTTACTCGTGTTGTGCACAGAATTAAAGAGTCATCTGACTTGCGCAAAAATGTTAAAATTTTTTGTCTCAGTAATTTTCCTTGGCCTCCATTGGCTAATTCAGTTTTTCAGTCCTAGCTTAATTTTTTATTGTTCGATTTGTATAAAACAAAGTTCATATGCTTCGTTGTCTCAATTGTCATTTTTTTTATTACCAAAAGTGTTATCTGTCGGCACCGGAAGTGGCATAATTTTACCAAAAACTACAATTTTGACAGTTAGGTACCATTTTTTGAAAACAAATATTATTTTTTTGAAAAATTATATGACTCAAAGAGTGTGTCCTTTAAAGGCGCAAAAAATGTCGGAAGCAGTTTTTTTAATTTCTTTTTCATTTTCTAGCAAATTGGATTAAGAGGTGAAAAAAGGCGTAAAATTGACCTATTTACAACTCATTCAGGCTTTTCAGATTTTAAAATATTTTTACGTAACTTTTATAAACTTGTAGCTATAATCCATACGAAGAGAATGTATGTGAAAATTAGTTTGTAATATAAGCAGTTGCCGAGAAATAGGCAATTTTGCATAAGTCACTTTTCACGTAATTTTGGCTGTAAAAGAATCAATTATTATTCGATTTTCAATTTTCTTTCGCCATTGGATGCCTAATGCCATAGTGGACTATGTCAAACCATTTTACCCCTTGCGCTGCCACCGGAAATGACGTCATTTGCTCAAAACTTAAATTTTAGCCTTCAAAAAACAATATTTTATTCAAATGATTCGTATTTGTTATTTTTTTCAAATTATGATATTTGATTCTATTGATCAAATAGATTGAACCCATACGATCATACAGATACCACAAAATGGTTTCTAACTTGTACGGTTGCAGAGAAATGGGCGATTTTCCTTAAGTCACTTTTCAAGGTTTTTGGTCTATAAAAGTGTCAGTTATTATTCGATTTTCATAAAATTTTCACCATATGATATCTTGTGTCATTTATGATTTCATAGAACTAATTTAACATTTTCATTATCACCGGAAGTAACGTCATTTTGGCAAAAACTGTATTTTTAGCCTTCAAAACAGATATTTTTTTCAAATGAGTCTTATTTGTATTGTTTTTAAAATTATGATATTTGATTCCAATCAGCAAATAGATTGAACCCATACGATCATACAGATACCAGAAAATGGTTTCTAACTTGTACGGTTGCAGAGAAATAGGCGATTTTCTACAAGTCACTTTTCAAGGTTTTTGGTCTATAAAAGTGGCAATTGTTATTCGATTTACATACAATTTTCACCATGTGATGCCCTATGTCATTTCTGATTTCATAAAAGTAATTGAACATTTTCATTATCACCGGAAGTACAGTACACTTACATGTAACAAATGTATAAAATGAATTGATATTGCTGGATTTTGTTGATTCGGCGTCCATTTTATTTGATGTGTGCAATGCTTATGTGGAAACCTGTTTAATGGTTTCATTGGTACGGGAAGTAACATGTTTAGGGTAAAGTGGCACCGGTGAAACCCGTCATTACTGCATCGCAGTTCTAGTTCTTATTATTATTATTCTTCTTTTGTTTTGAGTAGATCTCAGCAACTGATTGTCGGATCGTTACGATTTCTTCGGTTTTATCGGAAAAGTGGGTGTGACTTAGAGGATAAAGCTATTTTGAACGTTCTGCGACAATGCGAAATGTCCGAAATCACCGAAGCTATCGTTTTTAGAAATATTGCAGTAATTTTAACAATAATCATTGGATTTTAACTTTCGATGCATTTTGGCATAGCCGAAGACGGGGCACATAGCTACGCTACTTTTGATTTTTGATTTTCGGCAAATCTTCGCAGATATTAGGCGCTAAATTTAGAAAATTTAACTTTTTACAAAAAACTTTTTTATTTATGAATATTTTTTAGTCGTGTTTTACACAAATATAACGAGTCCTCTGACTTGGGCAAAAATGTGAAATTTTTTTGTCTCGGTAATTTTCCTTGGCCCCCATTGGCTAATTCAGTTTTTCAGTCCTAGATTAATTATTTATTGTTCGATTTGTATAAAACAAAGTTCATATGTCCGTTGTCTCAATTGTCATTTTTTTTGTTACCAATAGTGTTATCTGTCGGCACCGGAAGTGGCGTAAATTGACAAAAAACTACAATTTTGACAGTTAGGTACCATTTTTCGAAAGCAAATATTATTTTTTTCAAATCTGGTATAACTGAAATTGTGCGCCCTTTAAAGGCGCACAAAATGTTGGGACCAGTTTTTTTAATTTCGATTCCGTTTTCGGGCTATTTCGATTAAAAGGTGAAAAAAGGTGTAAAATTAAGCTATTTACAACCCATCCAGCGTTTTCATATTTTAAAATATTACTTCGTAACTTTCATAAACTCGTAGCAATAATCTATACGGAGAGAATGTATGTGAAAATTAATTTGTAATATGCGCAGTTGCCGAGAAATGGGCAATTATGCATGAGTCACTTTTTACGCTACTTTGCCTGTAAAAGAGTCAATTATTATTCGATTTTCATAAAAGTGACACCATTTGATGTGTAATGTCAATTTTAACTAGGTCAAACCAATTTAACATTTTCAATATCACCGGAAATGACGTAATTTGGGCAAAAATTGTATTTATAGCCTTCGAAACCAGTAATTTATTCAAATGAGTCATATTTGTTATTTGTTTAAAATTTTGATATTTGATTCAAATCAACTAATACAATGAACCCTTACGATCATATAGATATCACAAAATGGTTTCTAACTTGTTCAGTTGCGGAGAAATAGGCAATTTTCAACAGGTCACTTTTTAAGGTTTTTTGTCAATAAAAGTGTCAATTATTATTCGATTTTCATGAAATTTTCACTGTGTGATACATAATGCCATTTACGATTTCATACAAGTAATATAAGATTTTCATTATCACCGGGAGTAACGTCATTTTGGCAAAAACTGTATTTTTAGCCTTCAAAACAGATATTTTATTCAAATGAATCAGATTTGTAATGTTTTTAAAATTATGATATTTGATTCCAATCAACAAATAGAATGAACTCATTCGATCATACAGATACCTCAAAATGGTTTCTAACTTGTACGGTTGCAGAGAAATAGGCGATTTTCTACAAGTCATTTTTCAAGGTTTTTGGTCTATAAAGGTGGCAATTATTATAGGATTTACATAAAATTTTCACCATGTGATGATGCTATTTCGGATTTCATAAACCAATTTAACATTTTCATTATCACCGGAAGTAATGTAATTTTGACAGGATCACTGACATGTAGCAAATGAATTGATTGCTGGATTTGGTTGTTTATTTCATGTGTGCAATGCTTATGTGGAAACCTGTTTAACGGTTTCATTGGTACCGTAAGTGACATAAGTTCAAGGGTAACGTGGCACCGGTGAAACCCGTCATTACTGCTTCGCAGTTCTAGTTTCTAATTTAATTTTGCTTTGAAAAAAGGTTAGCCCTGGCAAAGCTTTATTTTATGACTGACATTATTAGTTTCACCCGTGTGATTTGCGCAGGGCGTCGTTCTTGTATTGCTAGGACCGTTTCTAGTCGTTCGGATCGGACGAAAACCGTTGATAGTTGGCCGATTTGAAATAGGAGTAACTCGTACCGGGTCTAAGCCACACAGTGTGCTGTGGTGGAAATTTAGCCCGTACAGCGACGCAACCGCCTAGTCTTATTTCCAATTCCAACTGCCAAGGGTTCTCGTTCGACCCAAACGATCTATTGTCCAATCATTCAACCAAACGATTTCATTACGATTGTTGCCGTGTAGAAAGAAATGTTTGTTCAAAACATATAACGCGTCAGTGAAGAAAACATTTTGCGTCTTGGTAATAGAATTAAAATTTACGCTAAACAAATACAGAAATTAGATTATACAGTGTCTTAATTTTGGAAGTTAAAAATTAACAAATATAGAATTTTGAATCTAATATACGGCGGTTTCACTCTCTATTATCTGTCCTCAATAAATTAATCTAATACAATTTTCTTTGTAAATGATTTATAAGTTATGTTTACTTACATTGCTTAATTCCGTAAGCACCGTTGCCCGTGGAGGTTCTTCTGGCAATGTTTTCATATCTAAAAGATAATTATAACATATAATAATGGCTGCTATAAACCTAAAATAACCATCAGTCATTTCTATCATTCTGTTTCAATTTATATTTTGAATATACAAGTACGGCTGAAGCTTACCTCGTGATACTTTGGTTAGTAGATTTGTATATAATCTAACTATTGGGACATAGGCGTCAAGCTCCTGTAACGATAACAATTTACTATCTTAGTCTTTTTAAACAGGCATTATGTATTACTTATATAAAAAGATGATCGTTCTTGCCATAATAGTTTATAAATTGATTGAATACATTAAAAATTTCAGTCAAATTACTTTATTCTCCGCGAAGGATATTTGACAAGAAATAGCCTTAATTAATTGTTCGTTCCTGATGATTTAGAGTTGTCGGGTACCATAGAGCCACGATAATAAGCGAAGTCTTGCATAATTCATCTTTAATTCATCCATAATTATATGGATAGTATTGACTATAAATCAAGAATATCTAACCAATTACAGGTGTCAGATATATTGGGTTCCTGACAACTAAAAATAGTTACTGTACCTTGCTTTGACCAGGAATAACATTATCAAGGAATTCAACACATCCCGGTCTGTGGCATAAAACCTGAATTTCGGCGTACATTTCGTTATCTTCGTTCACAACTAAAAATATAGACAGGGAAACGGTGTTTAACATCCATTAGCAATTTATGCTAATGATCTTATTTAATGATCTTCATAATTCAAATTCCGAGAACCAACGTTTATGATCATATTTTACGGGTACTTTCTCAAAGTGAGAATATGATTAAATATCTTCAAATATCAGTATTATGAATAAATAAGGGCGATGACTACTTACACTCCTCACTCCCAACGGCCAAGACTTTTCCTAACAGAACCATAGTGGTACCCGTGTTCAAACACACTTGATCACTGAAATTATAAAAGTCTGGAATGTTTAATATTGATTGAAATACACCTGTCAATAACTTGATTTTCGACTAAGGATATATTTATAAAAGCAAAACCGAAAAGTATGTGTGAAAGGCGTGTTTATAGTACCTTCATTTGAAACTGGGTGATAACCGTTTAAAGAAGAGTCAAATTTATTATCATTGGCGACGCGCTTTCAAACTGCAAGTTTGGCGACCAATTACCACAAGCTCAATATTTCGAATCTAAATTGAAATACATGTATTTTATTTCCATACAGTTTGACAATTGTCCTCTATAGCATGGGACATTTTCTTTAAAGTAATCGTCTACAAATACGCCACCATCTTGAAGAAAAAGTGGAAATATTAATATTACTAAATGGCGCCTATATGCTAAACTTACCCTACATCTACCGAATCTGAATTTGAAGGACTACTGTTATACTGGCTGCGCAGTCACTTTCATCTTTGTTCAATTTATAGCCCATTTCTCTCTCTCTCTCTCTCTCTCGGGTAAACTTTTAAAATCCAATATTATTAATTTACAAATAAACATTGGTTTTAAAAAAGCTTATATCAAAACATCTCAAATTGGCATTCTGTTGCATGATATAGCACGATTATTAGATATTTAATTAAGAATTAATTAAGTCAAGCATTCTCCAATTATGAGTGAGAGTAAATCAAACCAAACTGAATATAACAACAATGTCTTCCCCAACACGAACCACGTGATAGATGATGAATTGGTAACACCGAATCAATTAACATCTAAATGTTGTCACCAAAAATGGCTCAGCTCTAAATTTGTAAAACCTATATTTGTTTAAATTATTAGGAAATTCTTTAGGGTTTCTGGTGTAATTTTACTATCATATGGAAAACCGTTTTTTGTATTTTTAAAAATCCTAAATGTATTGATATAGATTTTAAAATTTTACATAATATATGATTAACGGAAAAGCTATTTAAGATAGGTAAAGTAAGTGACGAATATTGCCCGGTTTGTAAATTCATGCACGAAGATATTCAACATGTACTAGATGTCAACATTAAACAGATTTTAAACTTCTAATTAAGTATATAATGAAAATAAATATAAGTAGTAATGAATTAGGCACTGTAATTTTATTTGGTCTCCAGCTGTCAAGTAATACCCTACCAATAACGTTATGTAATATTAGTATGTGTACTGTGCGATTAGCTATATATAATAAATAATATATACTGCGTACACATCTACTAGGAAAAAAATGAGAGTTCTAAAGATTTTATTTTAGGCTTTATTAAGCCTCCCGGGTTAAATGATGAGATAAGCATCGATTTTTAACTTTAAATAACAGAAACAGAAATCTGTGTTTCAGCGTACATACGCACTTTTAACCAAATTAAGAAACATTTGTTCTCACTATGAATGTATTGTGATGCAAATATTTGATGATCTATTTAAATTCTGTGAATGGACATGTTCTAAGAATTAAAAAAGGTAGTGAAATCCACAGGCACGCGTTACAGTGTTTGGAATTTATGACATTTCGGACGTAATAGTTTCAATAAGTAATCCGAATTGATATTAGGTATTGTGAATAAATTTGCATTCAGAAATTAAATGCATGTCCTTTCATCCCCAAATCGTTTGACCCCGGACTGTTTCAACCCAACCTACTTTTTTGTTTGGGTTGTTGCTTCGCGGACGGTTTGATCCCCTGTCATTTTCTAGCATTTAATCAGTCATGTGATTGAGGTATATTTACATCGATTTAACGTATTGTTAAATACATTGTTAAACACTTAATCAATTGTTATGCATTGCAAATAAATGTATTTAATCTTGGGAGTTGGAGTTGTATTTACTAATCAATAGGTAGCCAGGTCGTTCATGAAGTCAAGTAGTAAAATTAATTATTTTGATCCAAACTTAGAATGATTCCAAAGTATGTGAATAAGTTCAAATTTATTTACCGGTAATAACTTTGAAAACGCAATATTTATCATGTGATCCATGGCGAAATTTTCATATGGTTTAAACAATATTTTTATTCATAAAATATCATATATTACAGTTTTTTAAAGATAAGATACAAAAACAAGCTAAAAGCTTATATAAATTTGCTTCATATATGTTTATGTTATTTACTTTTGATATTTCAAGAATATGATAATGTACTTGACGACGAAATCTGGGACCAGATTTATGGCTGATTGGGACCACGACAAGGCTCATTCGGACCATTACTTAAATGACGCGAGTATTTAAAATATGTTTGCATATTTTTGATAATAAGACAACTATGACAATAAATAGAGTAATTAGTCACAATAAATAGTGTAATTAGTCACAAATAATAGTGTAATTAGTGAATGACGGCTTAAATACAAATGAGCTAAATCGCAGAGAAGACGCTTCACATTCTTGGCTGATTGGGACCAGATTTCTTGGCTGATTCGGACCATGATCAGACCAATGACGAGAGTGTTTTAAATATGTTTGCTTGACAATCAAATTGTAACCCAATATCAAATAGCCTCATATCAGTATAATTACTGCAACGAATGCGATATTTTGTAATGAATGAAGTTGACAAAATGACAGACAAATTGTTCTTTGTATAATATTTTAATTAGTAAATATCATTTTATTTCATATAACGAGACATTTGGTGGCGATTCAATTCCTTTACAAACCAATATTTTATTATTTAGTAGTAGCCGAGACAGAGACCTTCCTGATCTAGACAAGTGTTGAATAAATACACTAAATTGGTTGACAAATGTGTAAAATTTTCTTAGTTATATACACATTAAACAAAGTTAATTAAATCAAACTTTATAGTATAAAACTCCGGTAGCAATATACAAGACCCTAATCACACCATTTATTGTTAATTAATGACAAGCCTAGTAATCCAATAAACAATCAGATCCAATCACACAAATTCTCCTCTCATCCGAGCGCCCGAAGGGCGCGATGGATGAGAAGGATTATATGAATATATATAGCCCGAGGGCTCGAGGATTTATATTGCATATTTCTCATTGATCTAAATAAATATGTATACTAACTCAACATTCAAAGTCCAAAAATAGCACAATTGCACGTGCAGCACTGTGTCACCATACGCCTGACTATAAATAAGAGGTAAGGCTCGGCTCTAGTTGTGTCTTTAAAGTTTTGTTGGCAACCATATATATAGCACTGGGAGGGCTAAAGGGAGGGTATATAAATCCTCGAGCCCTCGGGCTATATATATTCATATAATCCTTCTCATCCATCGCGCCCTTCGGGCGCTCGGATGAGGAGATTATATTCCATTATATGCCCTTTGGGCATCTCCGATTTATATTGCATCATTGAAAGGGTTGTCAACAAAAAAGAAAACAAATAGTAGGCTGTTAAAATTTATCCATATAATTAAAAAAAATGTATTATTTCCTGTAGAACAAAAAAAACTTATCATTGTTCCATGATACTGTTTTAAGATTGTCTGAAATAGAGTATCCAGAATTAAACGATGCAGATCAGGAAGTTGAACGAATTCAATGAGGCTTATATTCAGAAGTATCAATTCCTGCCAGTACAATGGTTTCTTAAGCCAACGGCCAATGGTAGATGGCGTTACTGCTCTGAGTGTAATACATGTATGAGATACAATAAGTTCTGAAGTTAATTCAAGATAATACTGGAGAGTATATCAGTAAACTAATCCAATTTGACCTGGTATAGATGAGAAGATTGACAAGAAATTTTCCAAACTTTCACTTCCTCACCTTATAGCATTGCCATAATCTAGAAAGCGATTAATACTAAAAGCTCTTAATGTGGCACCTTTGGACTGTAGCTAGAGCCAATAAGTTCACTGTTATATAAGTGAGAAGCTTCAAAGATATACCTTCTGAGGCAAAAAAACAATTTAATATAATAGAAACACTCCAGGTTGCTACAAAAACAAGATTTTGGAGGATCAAGATTAAAAATACCTTCCAAAAAACGATAAATCATGGCATGGTTTCTGAACTTCCTGCTGCCTGAAACATTCAGAGTCTGAACAATTGCTGATGTGTAGGTGTTAGCAACACTATAGGAATACTAGACAACGACAAATCACTCAAATAATTTGCAATATTTTCTACAGTGGGATCCAAAGGATCAATTTGTTTCCGATCTGCCTAAAAATTCTATCGTCTCAAGGCCAGATTATACTGTTTGTTAATTCCTGGTCTCCAGGACCTGAGAATAGTGTCAATATCATGTTGTGATAGTCCTCTATTAGTGAGGGTTTGCTTGAGACAAGCATTCGTGTATAAAATTTTCCCTCCCATGGGGTAGCACATCCCATGGTGAACTAAACGCAAGAGGTCCTTCCGTAGAAGCAAATGAATGGGCTTAGAAATTAGCATTGCTAAGAGTCTAGAATACCATACCGGTATTGGCCATCCTGGCACTATAATTGTAGCATGGTCTCTGATTATTTGGTTGAGATACCGGTACTTGGCAACTACACTGAAACTTTCAGTGAGAAGAGGAAGATGTATTGGTGAAAATTAAATCAACTCATCTTAAATACATCATATTCAAGAGCCAAACAAAATGGATCAGACTGTCAACTTTACAACTTGGTAAATAATCTGTGGTGTAAATAGATCTATGTCCGGTACAGATAAAAGATTACATACCCTCTGAAAAATGTGCTTAATCAACTTCAATTCTGTGAAGTCAGAAAAATGTCTAGATAATGCATCTGTTATGCTATGAGACATAATTGATCTATAGATATTTAGCAGATAAATATTTCTAGAAGCACACCGGTACCAAATTTGTTTGCTTATTTTAAAACAATTTTAAATTCCCCAATATTATAAATATATGATAATTATAGGATATAGTGTTATCACATTGAACAAGTATAAGCGTATTAGATAAATTGCTGCACAATGATGTCCATCCATAGAAAACTGCCAGCAGTTCAAGATAATTTATTGATATTCTGAACTATTCCA